CTGATGGCTTTGAAATATGAGCCTTTGCTAAATTCCAAATTGTACACAAAGCAATTAATTAAAATTCCTTCCAAAACAGCCCTGGCCACTGCTGCTTTCCAGCCAAGGTAGAATGGGCAGAGGCTACAGTGCATCCAAGTTGTTTTATTTCCAGATTTGTACAGTAGGATCTGTGAACCAGAAACTCTACAGCTTCCCCAAAACAGGAACGTCGTCTAAGAGCCGAAGGTGAAAACTGAATTGAGAAATTCGGGCTTAGCTGAGTGATATTTAATGCAGGACCTCAGGGGCTGCATGGGGCAAAAAGCACTCATGAATTGTTTTAATTGCAGTTCTTTGAAAGAGTCTGAGGTATGAATGTGATCACAGGACCTCTCATAGGATTTAAGATAATCTAAAATTCCTATTGTTTTTATGAGTAATTCCAGCGGCGTGAGCCAGGCCCTTGGAATGGATGATGGATGCATTCTGGGCTTGAGAACTCTGATCTGTGACAGCTCAGGAATCAACTCTGCATGAAGTGCACTCAGGGTGTTCTTGGTTGTGTCTGTCCTCAGTCCCAGAGAGCTCCACTGCTCTGGAATGTGCAGTGCCAGCCCCAGATGGGACCCAGGTGGCATCCAGAGCCCTGAGCTGTGGCTGCTCACCCACTTCAAACACAAACTGCTGCTTTGCCCTGAAATGAGAAGGATTTAAGTCACAAAGGCAGGCACATCCAGAGGAAAATGTGCTTTTATGTGCTTTAAGAGCTCTAAATGACTTCTGGGAGGTGTTTGAACCACTGTGGTGGCACTCAGTGGTGGCTTGTAGAGGAAAATACCTCAGCAAAAAGTCAGAGGCTCCTAGGGAGCTCAGGGCTCTCAGTGCCAGGCTCTCCATGTCCCAGCTTTCCATATTTAAAGTGGAGGAGTGTGCTCTGTTTATCCATTATGATTACAAAAGCTTTTGGAGAAGAGGCTCTTCACCTCCCTGCAGCACATGTGGGTGCCATGAGGCTCCTCTTGAGGGGCTGTGGACATCACTGAGTCCCTTCTGTGACAGAAAAAGTGTGTCTGTGTCACTTGTATCCCTACACTTCAACTCCTCTAATCAAACAACTTTTAAAACTTCCTTCCCAGTTGTTTTCTACCTGCCCATTTCTCCATGGAGTTTTTCCAGAGGATGCCTCCTTGCTTTTTCCCTCTTTTTCACACTAATTTCACTCCCACAGACAGACAGATCATTCTGGTTAATGCTTATCTCCCTTTGTAATTTCCAAGGAGAGCTTTAATCTGAAAATCTGGCATAGGTGGGGTAGCAAAGGCTTTTTATTCAGTGCTTGCACGTTTTTCTATTCATTAAAGGAAGGTCACTGAGCCTGGATCCATAGTTTTGTGGGGCCTTACAACTGTAGGATTTATCATCTAGAAAACTGTAGAGCAAATGCAGGATGTTTATTCTTTGTGGCCTGGTCATGGAGGTAGAAGTGAAGTTGTTTGACTATAAATAAAAGGTAACTCCTCAACCTGGAACCTGGATGGATTCCTGCTTATCACTCTGCACTTTATCTGTTCCAACCACTGAGAAAAAGGCAATCCTTCTGTCCCCTCTGAAAGTTATGACCCTTTGTTCATCTCTTCGGGCAGCCAGGTTAAGACTTTGAAGAAAATTCCTGAATAATGAAAATTTCCCTTTGGAGTTTCACACCCTCAGGGCCTGCTCATTTCTGCAGGGTCTAATTGGGGTTGGAATAATTGCCACACTTCTTTGCACACACATTCTCCAGGAGTCTTGGGGAACACAGTGGATACTCTGAATTACTCTAAATTTGACAGCCTTAAAATTTCCCCCCTTAGAAGGGATACAGTGTAAATAAGAGGAAAAAAAATTACATAAAAAAAAGGTGTCTTTGATCATTTCTGCTGAAAAGATTCAGGGCTAATGGTTTAGGACTGTTATGAATTTCTGCTCTCCACTGTGATTTAATGTAGTTTGACCTCCACTGAGTATCCCTGCTGATTCCTTCACCCTGTTGGAATTGAGGATGGAAAAAAAATGATTTTCTGCCATTATGAAAGTGTGGAAAGAGCAGTGAAAGATGATGAAGTCAGAGCTGTTCATGTTTTGGCCCAACACGTCAAAACTTCCCCCGTCCCTTGCTTTGAGAACATTTCAGCTGAGCTCAGACTGAATGTTCTTCTGCTGGAGAAGATTCCCAGAGCCTGGGGAGTCCCGTGCCAGAGCCACCCCAGCACCCTGGCTTTGAGAGGTTGCATCCTTCGAGGCCTTGCCTTGTGAAAATGCCCTCTGGCAGATGGTGTCAACTGATGAGGAACAACTTGTGTTCCTTGCAGAAGGACCTCCCCATGTCTGGAGCTCATGGGGGGGGAATGGTCCAGCTCAGATCAGATCCCTGCTGTGGCTCTTCTGCTCCTGGGGCAGTGATAACGTGGTGTCAGTGCTGGGCACTCCAGGCTGCAGGGAACACATGGATCACACCTCACTGGAAACACCAAATTCCCTCAGTTAACAGATCACAGAAAACTGTTTTGGGGTTAGCAATTTACAAACCTCAAAGTGCTCCTTGTTGTGTTCCCTGGAGAGGGCTTTGGCTCTTCTCCAGCCAAGTCTTCCTCCCTGTCAGAATCCAACCCGCTGCTATTTTACCCAGATTTTAACAAGATCTGCTCAACTCCAATATGCTGCTGACAATATTTGATCCCCTCCTGCTGTAATGTTGGAGGTATCTCCTTGGACAGGAATTGTTTTCCTATTTTTCCCTTCTCTTTTTTCCCCTGCCACTTTTATGTCTAATTTCCAAGTCATGACATGTAAAGGGTGTCTGAGCAAATCTAATCAGCCTTCTGCCTTCGTTAGGAAGGACAGCTGAGATAGTTTTTTAACACCTCCATTCCTTCCTTGCTGCAATCTGTTTTGATTAAAATTGCACAGGGCTCTCATCTGCATATTTATCATTCCACATACCCACAAATCATCTCACAACTCTGCCACTCCTGAATGTTCAGGAGAGACTGGAGTGCCACACCGGGACTTTAAAGTGTGCAGACATTAATTTAGTTCCTCACACCTGCTGCTTTCCAGCAAATACGGCTTTGGGGAAGGGAAATATTCATGCATTACCTTTGCTTAGTATTCCCCAGGAGTCAGGATTCCTGGGGGGTTTTTCAAGATTGATTGAAAATTTCCTATTAAGAAACAAATTTCTAATTAAATGTAAAGGTCCTGAAAAAGTTCTGATGCTGGGAGGGGAGCAAGAGGAAGGGGGGGGATGTCTAAACAAAGAAATAACTCTTTTTAATAACATTTTTTCAGCTTTTGACAGCCAGACTGTGACGTGCTTTCAGATCTTCAGATGAAAGGGCTGCAGTGGAAATGAAAATTATTCCTTGCCTTTGTGCTTTTGGCAGTCCATCTTACCTCCACCACATATTATTAAGTGTATCACCAGGCAGTGACCAGGTTTTTAAGGAGTGTTTTCTAGAAATAGCCTTCTTCTGTTCTTTGGTTAAAATCTAACTTTCAAAGTAAATGTTCGTATAAGAAAATTCTCCTATTACCTGGATCTCCTTTTCCCCCAGCTGGTACTGCAGAGATGCTACGATTTGCTTCTCAATTCATAATCTATATTTTTTGATCAGATATTTAAGATGTGTGAGGGACCACAACACCTTTTCTTCTCATTCATATTGAGGTTGTGCCTGGGGGAGCAGGAGAGCAGGAGACAGCTCTTGCCCAAGGAGGGTGGGAATGTGCCAGTGACCAGATGGGGAGAACAGGATCTCTAGATTTGTTGTCCTGCATGACAAGCAGAACATTTTGCAGACCATCCACATTATCCTGCCCACAATTTTTGTAGTCAGGGAGGCAGGAAGAACCGAGGGCACGGCTCATTAGGATGAAAGCTGTTCCCTATTAGACAAAAAAAGATTTGTAACAATAGACACGTTCTGGGTCATACAAACCTCTCAAAGTACCTGAGAGATGTCACACATCACCCAGCTCTTCTAACAGACCACAAGGCCAAACTCATGCTGAGAAGGGTCATTCTTTTGCCAACCTTTGCTGCAAGACTTTTAGGTGCCCCTAAATAATCCAGCAGCTGATGTCTGCAAAGGAAGTATCAGGAGGCTTTCTCCAAGAGGCAGGTTTAAAATACAATCCACACAAGCTGTTCTGAAGGGAAGATGAGAGAAAATGAAGGGACAACAGAGCCTGGCAGTCACTGTGGCTTCATTTCTCTCCTGCTCCCGGGTGGTCGATTGTGGTCAGGGCTGTTGTTTGGATGTGTTTGAGGAACTGGGGTTGGAGGGAAGGATGTCCTCTTTGTTCTCCCAGCCAAGACCATGGCTAATGTATAAACAACTGGAGGAAGGTGTCTGGTTTTGTAGATGTCAGATCCAGGAGTGGAGCTCAGCTAACCATGCTGGGCCCTTGGCAGATGGGATGGGAAACACCTGATGGGGATGGATTAGCTCAGACATCAGAGGAGGTGTCAAAGCACAGGGGTCACAGTGCAGGCGTGGAATGCTGCTCCGAGACCACCACAATGTTTCTCCAGAAACTTCAAAAGGATGTCAGCCAAGACACATTAATTCTTCCAGTATCATCTATGAGCTGGGTTTGGCTGCCTCTAATGCAGCAAGTGTCCTCTCAGAGTCCTGGTGTTCATGTGGCTTTCCTCAGTAGTGAAGGTGACAGTGACAGTGGCTCTTGCCAGAGCAGTTTCTCATTTTCCCAGGCGTATTAAAGAAATCACAGTTTGTATCATGATTAAGTGGTTTGTCAACTCACACTGGTCAGCAGAAAAAGTGCAATTTCATTGGTTTGGGCCAGGCCAGTATTCCTGTAGGTTGGTATTTACAGAAGCCATCAGCTTTCACTAAAATTCAGTGAGAATGGGTTGCAGAGCTGCCTCCAGTTTGTTCCATTTTCCACTGGTGATCCATCTGTCAAGCAGCTCGTCCCTTTAATGACTACTTGAGGGTTAGGCACTAGTTTTATGACCTTGTCCTGGGGTAAAAAGTGCATAACAGCACATGGAATTGCATAGGAAGCACTTTGCAAAGCCCAAGTGGGAGTTCTCAAGACTAAAATCCCACTTCAAATACAGTTCCAAACATGTTTCATGAACTGGCAACCCAGTTTAGGGGTTGAGTGAGAAATGAGACCTGGACCATGTCTGTCTCTGTTATTCTTTATTAACAACCTTGTAATCTCTTCTGGTGCAGGCAGGGCTTGCAGAAATATTTGAGCAAATGGGGTAAGTGTTAGAAATGCCTTAAAGCTGAATGGTTTTCTGTAACAAGGAAAAAGCCTTCCTTGCTGTTTGTTTACTTCTGATTTATTCCCCAGTAAAATGGGGTGAAGTTTGTCCTTTGTGAGCTCAAGGTTCCCTACAAAACCCACTAAACTTCAGTGAAGTGTCTGATGTGTTATTGTCATTCCCTCAAAAAAGCAGCTGCAATAGCATGGGAAAAACAATCCCTCCACTTTGGGGGAATCAGAAGGGTGGAAGAGGCTGGTCTCTCATCTGACAAATAAATTAGCATCAAAACTATGATGTTTAGAGAATAAATTGCTGTTTCCTCCATTAGTGGCATTTCATAGCTTGCAACCACTGAAAGCACAGTCGCTGATCTAACCATTAAACCAAGCTCTTCTGGGAGTGGGAAGGAAAACAAATGCTGAGATGACATTTATGAGGTGTGCTTATTCAGGCAGTCCATTACTGCTTTGGCTCCTCACTCTACGTGCTGAGGGGCTGATCCTGCATGGAAGTCAATGGATGTCTTTCCACTCCCCTGGCTCACTCCATTGAAAAGGAACATGCACAGACTGAGGAGGAAGAGGAAATATTGGAGCTAATTGAAAAGAGTGAGTTTAGGAGGAGCTGTAGAGGCCAGACAGGTGATTGTAACTTTACACGAGTTATTGTGTTATAGCTGAAGAAAGATCAGACAGTGGGAAATGCTGCCTGATGGAAAGGGATATTGGCTGCTAAAAAGGCATTTTTACACATGTGATTTTATTGCTGTCTCTATGACTGGAGTCTCTGCTTCTCTTGTATCTCACTACTTTTATACTAAAATATCCCTGTGATACAAGCATTGACACCAGAACCTTCTACCTGCAGAGAGCTCCATTTATCTTCATGCTCTTGATAAATCATCATACAGTGGAGCTCACTATGCAGCTACAAGCCCTGGAGTTCAGATTCCACAGCAACCTTGGAGTAATTTAAAACATAGAAAAGGGATGGGATGAGCTTGGTGTTGATGCACACTTTGACAATGTCTCGAGTTTCTTACATGGTCCAAACTTGAGCAGCCTTCAAGCAGTGGAGGGGTGAAGGAAATACAGAATTTAACATTGGTTAAATCATAACAGATCACATATTTATTTTATCTGCCTCTGTTTTCAGTTGAGCTGAGACTCAGCAGGCATCTTTGCCCAAGTCTTCTACTTGAGGGAGTTAAACTTTCTACAACCCACTGTATTTGCTCTAACCTGGGAACAACAGCAGCTTCCTTCATCTCTGGTGACATTTCCTTCAGAATCACACTGGGATTCTGGAAAACCACTGTTATTATACATCAGAGCAAGCTCAACAGCTTGGGTGAAGTGTCCTGTTCTCGGAGGATGCAACACACGAGCAGTTTTGTTGGGTAGTGTGGCTGCTGTTAATCCCTGTTCCTTCTTTTTTTAGGGAACAAACACACCAGGAAAGAAAAGGATCTCCAGCTTGGTTTGGCCTGGCTCTCCAATTTCTGCCGCAGATTACAAAGGCCCGGCAGACCTAAGACTCTCTCAGCCTTGAAAGGGAACCAGGCACCACCATGGGACTCCCCAGCCGGGTCTTGGCCTGTGCCATCCTCGCTTTGCTGTCCCAGCACGTCACTGGGGGACTCATCAAGAGAATTATCCGGCAGAAGAGGGAAACTGGGCTGAACGTGACCTTGCCAGAGGAAAACCAGCCTGTGGTGTTCAACCATGTCTACAACATTAAGCTGCCCGTTGGCTCCCTCTGCTCCGTGGACCTGGACACTGCCAGCGGCGACGCCGACCTGAAGGCAGAAATTGAGCCTGTCAAGAATTATGAGGAGCACACGGTGAACGAGGGGAACCAGATTGTCTTCACTCATAGGATTAACATTCCCCGCCGGGCCTGTGGCTGTGCAGCTGCCCCAGACATTAAGGATCTGCTGAGCAGACTAGAGGAGCTGGAGGGGCTGGTCTCCTCCCTGCGGGAGCAGTGTGCCAGCGGGGCTGGATGCTGTCCTAATTCCCAGGCAGTAGAAGGTAAGGCAGGCTGGGGACGCTCTTGGGGGAAATTCTTGTGCTGGCTGTAGATGTTGTTTAGAGTGATATTCCAATCTGTTTCAAGAATGAGCACAAGTCAACCTGTTAAATTTGAAACATAATCAAAACCGGGAATGTGTTTGGCCAGTGTGTAAAGTACATTCATTCACAGTTTCACAGCTTTGTGGATCCGTGGGTCAGGAGTCGGCCTGGGACCCTTTGTAGCTGTGGCACTGAGCATGGACAGCCCTTGGGCACGGTGATAATCTGTGTCAGGGTTAAGATTAAAACTCACACAGTCCAAGCTTTTGGCTCCACTTATTGTCCCCTTGAGGAAGCTGCCAATGTAACCATTTTCGCTTCCAAGTTTTCTTTAGTAGAGACCAATAAAAATACAGCAGGACATAAGGCAATAGACAAGCACAAATAGTTATAGAAGAGGAAAAAATGTGTCTGGCTGGTTGATTTTTAAATTGAGGGAAGGGATTTGGTCATACAAGAGAAGAAACACAAGTCTTCTTCAGAGCAATGTGTCCCTCTGAGCTCAGAGCAGTCTCCCAGTTGCTGATACAGCAGATGACACAATGTGCTGCCTGACTTTTTTGTGTTCTGGGGTGAATGGATGAATGATGTTTCATGGTGCATGCCCTAATGAAGTAGTCAGGAAAGCTGCTCAGTCAGTGGAAGAGGATTTTGAGAAGGGAGGAGGAATCTAGCATGCTCAATTACCAAGTCGTTGGCAGGGGCTCTTCCCTGGAATTAGAGCGAATTAAAGCTTTCCTGGCAAAGTAAATGTAGCTGGAGAAAGAAAGAGAGGTTCTCATTTAAAAACTTTGAATACCGATATCCTGTAGGGAACTGGGAAAATCAGAGCCCTTTTGGGTCATATGTGCCACGCTGGCCTAAGGCATCCTAGCGCCATGGGAGTAATGAGTTTTTGGGATGGTTGGTACAGGTCGCCTGGACACCACACCCTATTGCAGCGGGCACGGCAACTACAGCATCGAGATCTGCGGCTGCGTCTGCGAGCCCGGCTGGAAGGGCCCCAACTGCAGCCAGGCCTCGTGTCCCTCCGACTGCAACGACCAGGGCAAGTGCGTGGACGGGCTGTGCGTGTGCTTCGAGGGCTACACGGGCCCCGACTGCAGCCAGGAGCTCTGCGGCCAGGGCTGCGGCCCCCACGGGCGCTGCGTGGGTGGGCAGTGCGTGTGCCACGAGGGCTTTGTGGGTGACGACTGCAGCGTGCCCCTGTGTCCCCACAACTGCCACGGCCGCGGGCGCTGCGTGGACAGCGAGTGCGTGTGCGACGAGGGCTACACCGGCGAGGACTGCAGCGAGCTCATCTGCCCCAACGACTGCTTCGACCGCGGGCGCTGCGTGAACGGCACGTGCTTCTGCGAGGAGGGGTTCACCGGGGAGGACTGCGGGGAGCTCACCTGCCCCAACGACTGCCATGGCAACGGGCGCTGCGAGAACGGGCTGTGCGTGTGCCACGAGGGCTTTGTGGGCGACGACTGCAGCGACAGGAGGTGCCCCAACGACTGCCACCACCGCGGGCGCTGCGTGGGCGGGCAGTGCGTGTGCCACGAGGGGTTCCTGGGTGAGGACTGCGGGGAGCTGCGGTGTCCCAACGACTGCCACAACCGCGGGCGCTGCGAGAACGGGCAGTGCGTGTGCCACGAGGGCTTCACCGGGGACGACTGTGGCCAGCTGCGGTGTCCCAATGACTGCCACAACCATGGGCTGTGCGTCAACGGGCAGTGCGTGTGCCACGAGGGCTACACGGGCGAGGACTGCGGGGAGCTGCGCTGCCCCCACGACTGCCACCACCGTGGGCGTTGCGTGGAGGGGCGCTGCGAGTGTGACAACGGCTTCACTGGGGACCACTGCGGCGAGCTGGCCTGCCCCAACAACTGCCACGGGCGTGGGCGCTGCGTCGACGGGCGCTGTGTGTGCCATGAGGGATTCGTGGGTGAGGACTGCCGGGAACGCTCCTGCCCCAATGACTGCAACAACGCGGGGCGCTGCGTGGATGGGCGCTGTGTCTGCGAGGATGGCTACATCGGGGATGACTGCTCCGATGGTAGGTGATTCCCCTTGGGCCATCCAATGGCCATGGACACTCCGTGAAGCTTTTCCAGAGAGCTGGGCCCTTGTTGCTGCTTTTCCGTAGTCCAAACAGCAGGATCAGAGATGCAACACCAATAGCTCTTGGCATCCTGAAATATCAGGGCTGAGTAGTGTAGCAGGTTCTGGTGACTTTTGGTGGTCACCAAGACAGCGGGCTTCTGATGGTACTGCATTGCCTTTGCCACCTCCACTTCTGCTCCCACCATGATGTCACCGGTGCTGTAGCCAGCACTGGCTGGGAGTTGTCACCATGACCCTTCAATTTCTCATAGCACCTCTTGATGCTAGAAAAAAAAAAAGCTAAAAGAAGCTGTTCTAGCTAAGGAGAAAAGGGAAATGTTCCAGAGTCTTCTTACTACACATGCGTGGGCACACATATATAAATATATATATATATATATATATTTGTATGTATATGGATGTGTGTATATTAGATCTCACAGAAGCTTAAGAGGAAAATTGTGGGATCAGCTGGAGTGGAAACTTAGCTGTAAAGTCACGTGCTTGTTTCCCCAGGACCACTGACTCTATGGAAATTGATAGAAAATTTTGGCAGCCTGATAATGACAGGCAATACACCATAAATGAAGTAGTTTTCTTTAGTAGATCCCAGGGGAGAAATTGTGAAACTAAATTTTGGTAGAGTAATCAAAGAGAATTTTGGGGATGAGAACACCATAAATGACAATGAATACCCTTTAAAAGAAATTCCCATCTTTCATCTCCTCCTTCTGGAAAGTGCCTAAGCCCCACTTTGTGATCTTGCACAGGCAGATCTATTGCAAGCATGTACTCAAATAATAATGTTTTATTTTACTTTGGAAAATCTGTGCAAATCCCAGGACTTCTAGCTCTACAATCATGTGCTGCTGGCAGTTGAATTAAACATCTGAATCCCTCAGGACCCAGCTATAGCAGTCTTGTGCTGCAGCCATGAGAGGAGCAGCTGGAATGCAGTCAGCCAGAGGTTGTGTGCAAGTGTGAGAGCAGAATTGGCCCATGGCTTCTGGAAATGTCTGTAGTCTCCATCAGCTGAGCATTTCTTTCCTCAGCAGCTAATTTGTGGGACATGCCTTCCCCATTCCCTGCGTGTGAGATGAGCCTTAGGAACCACTCCTGGGAAAATGTGAAACTGGGCAAGTCATTATTCCCTGAGCCTTGAGAACTTCTTATAAATTTGCTTTGGCTTTTTTATTTCCGCCCTCCATTCCCAGTGTCTCCTCCAACTGAGCTGACTGTGACCAACGTGACGGATAAAACTGTCAATCTGGAGTGGAAGCACGAGAACCTCGTCAACGAGTACCTCATCACCTACGTCCCCACCAGCAGTGGGGGCTTGGACATGCAGTTCACTGTGCCAGGAAACCACACAGCTGCCACCATCCACGAGCTGGAGCCAGGCGTGGAGTATTTTATCCGTGTCTTTGCAATCCTTAAAAACAAGAAGAGCATTCCAGTCAGCGCCAGGGTAGCCACATGTGAGTATAATATTCCCTGTATTCATCTTTTTGACTGCTCTGTTTGCATCCCTCTTGTGGGTTGTTGCTTATTTTGTATTTTCTATTTTCACTTCGTATGTGTTGACTCGCATCCCTTTTTTGGGGGTATTTATTCTGTATTTTCTATTTTCAGTTCAGACGTGTTGATTTACATTCCTTTTTTTGGGATATTATTTCTTTTGTATTTTTTACTTTCAGTTCAAATGTTGGTCTGGAAAAAACAACCTTCTGCACTTCCATTTTCTCCTTTCTTCCAGTACCAGGGACTGTGTTAGAAGCACAGCTCACAAGCTCTTCTGCTCTCAATGTCTCTTAATTTGTGAATTAAGAACTGTGGCCTCTTTATTAAAATGCACATTTATTTATTATAATGTGCATTTCATTATTATAAAGTTAATTTTAAAAATTCTGGCAATTTTTCCTGGGAAAAAAGTAAAAAAATGTAGCAGCATGTAAAAGAGCAATATGAAATCACTTGAATTTAAACCATTTTAGCTAAAATGGAGTTATATTTGTTTTATGTGTTTTAATACATCTTACCTTTTATCTGCCTTTTATACCTTTTATCTGCCTGTCTGTTCTTCTGTTGTTCATCATCCTTTTTGTTTTGTGTACATCGCTGTCATATCTAAACATCCCAATATCAAAAGATGCTCTTTGACTTCTGTCACTGAGCTCACTTCTGGAGAGCTGGGACAGGATTCAGCTCTCCTGACTTCCCAAGTCAACACCAGGCTTCTTTCGAGAAGGCACCAAAAAAAGAGATTTCGATGGTAAAATTCATTTTATTCTAAGTTGACATATAAACCAGCTCAGGAAAGTCTCTCCAAAACCACAATAACTGGATCTGAGGAGAGTTTAACCACAAGAGTTTAACCACCTCAGCTGCAGATCCCCACCTGGCAGATTTTTCTAAAAGTGGAAAGATGTCTCACCCCAGTACCCTGTTTATGGGAATTTGTCACTCATGTGAGATTATCCCTTTCTTCTGCCACAGATCTGCCTGCTCCAGAAGGTCTGAGATTCAAATCTGTTCGGGAAACATCCGTCCAGGTGGAGTGGGACCCTCTGAACTTTTCTTTTGATGGCTGGGAGCTGGTCTTCCATAATATGGTGAGGAAGCAGTTTCACATATAGACTGAAAAATCCTGGATTTTAATGTTTGTGCTCACTGATTTGTCCCATGTGTTCCAGAAAAAGGATGATAATGGGGACATAACCAGCAGCTTGAAAAGGCCAGAGACATCCTACATGCAGCCAGGTTTGGCACCTGGGCAACAGTACAATGTGTCCATCCATATAGTGAAGAACAACACCAGAGGACCAGGACTGTCCAAAGTCATCACCACAAGTAAGCACAGCCTCTGTTTGGTCTGGTTTTAGTTGGCCACCAAGAAAACTTCTGCTGTTTGGGGTTTTTTAAACAAGAGAAATTCAAGTTCTACACTGTGAGTTAATGGAGTGAGGTGGGGGGGAAGGAAACAGTGGAGTTGCTAATGAATACATGAGGAAAAAATAATTCCTCTCCACATTTCCTGTTTGAAGCAGAAAGGGAATTAATGTCCAGCTAGAAAGTAGCACGCAGTACTCACTTTTATTCTTTTTTCAAGGTGTACATCAGCAGGAACTAGAATTCCTTACTAGAATTTGTTTCATCCTGGTGATATTTGCATGAGGGGTGTGTGAAGGTGGGGCAGCTCTTAGGGTTCCTGCTTTTCTGTCTTTTGGCAGCTTCTGGTTTGAAGGAGATTTGGTGGATTTGCTTCTGATGGATTGATTCCATTTGGATCTAAAACCACAGGATCCAAAGGAAGAGCGTAAATGAGGATACTAATTTTAACTTTGTTCTGAATCACCAGTTCAAGGCATAAGAATATGGGGATTTTTCATGACAAAGTTTATTTTAAAAGCCCCTTTCCCCCTCTCTTTTGCTCGGTAACAGAGCTTGATGCCCCCAGCCAGGTGGAGGCCAAAGACATCACCGACACCACGGCTCTTGTCACCTGGTCCAAACCCTTGGCCGAAGTTGAAGGTGTAGAGCTCACTTATGGCCCCAAGGACATTCCAGGGGACAGGACAACCATTGACCTCTCTGAAGATGAGAACCAATATTTCATTGGCAACCTGAGGCCGCACACAGAGTATGAGGTGACGCTCGTCTCTCGTCGAGGGGACATGGAAAGCGACCCTGTGAAGGAAGTTTTTGTCACAGGTGAGGGGCTGGGAAGGTGACACAGGCTCCACCCATCCTTCTGTGCTGTTTGTGTCTGTTGGCAGTTAATGACCAACACAAAATCAGCCCAATTTTAGAGGTACATGAAAGTGGAGAATAATTTCCCGAGCCTTTTATGCCTTGTTGGCTCACCAAAATATTTAGAACCCCCCAAGAATCTGATTTTAAAAATGGGAATTGGGTTATTGTGTCTCTTACCCTAAATCCCTACTTCAAAAAGCAAATTCCTCTGGGTCAGTTGTCTGTCTGATGAGCTAAATATCTTCCATAGTTCATATTCCATCTTATTTCTCTTTGCCTAATTAGTTTAGAAGCAGAGAACTGGTTTTTTTTTCCTTCTTCAGTTCTACAAATATTTCCTGCCATTCTTTTATAAATTTACTGCGCTCCTCAGTGATTCTGGGAATGTTTTTTGCAAGTGTGGGTCTTTTAGAAGGTTATCAAGGCTTGATGCATAAGAGAGCTGCAAATTAGATCCCTTTTCATCCTAAAATACAGTTGTTATTTTGGAGCAGGATTTGAGGCTACTGTAGGTGTGAGAACTGAAAGATCATTTAATTTCTATATCATATTCACCTTTTTTTGAGACTTAGAGTTCCTTCCAGCCATGAATGCAAGATGTTACTGAACAGAAATTCCAGAGATGACCAGTTCTCTGCTCTTTTTTTCCTTTTGAAAGATGAGGTATTTCTAAAGGAAAACAGTAATTTCATCCAAATATGTTTTTCCACAAACCTGTTTAGTAATAAAAACTAATTGTTAGGAGTGAAAATGTTATTTTTGTCTCAGGAAATAGAAGTTAAATTTCTTGAACCGAAACTGGTGAGCTCTACTTTTTCATGCTAGAAGAACTCTGTTTTTTGTAGTTAAGACATAACAGGATCATGAGAGGAAATTTTCTGGGTCATTTCACCTCCTAAAAAGCACTGTCCCAAGAGACTGCTGCCAGAAGAGAAATCCTCCTAAATATTTATTTATTGCTTGGTTGATTCCAGACCTGGATGCTCCCAGGAACCTGAAGAGGGTGTCCCAGACTGACAACAGCATCACCTTGGAGTGGAAGAACAGCCACGCCAATGTCGATAATTACCGAATTAAGTTTGCCCCCATCTCTGGTGGGGACCACGTGGAGATTGCGGTGCCCAAGGGCAGCCAGGCCACAACCAGAGCTACACTCACAGGTAGGGGAATGGAGAGATATTTTTGTCACCCCAGGGCACAGGACATGGAGATAAAATGTCCCTGTGGTCACTATACCTTAGAGGTACAAACAGATTTTGAGCAATCTCAAGCATATTTTTTTGAGACAAGAGGTTACAAATTTGAAATTAGATGTTAGGAAGGAATTGTTGCCTGTGAAGGTGGGGAGGCCCTGTCACAGGGTGCCCAGAGCAGCTGGGGCTGCCCCTGGATCCCTGGAAGTGTCCAAGGGCAGGCTGGATGGGGCTTGGAGCAGCCTGGTGTCCCTGCTCATGGCAGGTGATGGAACAAGATGATCTTTAACATCCCTTTCAACTCAAACTATTCCATGACTGTATGATTTTGAGTAGACCAAATTGAGTTAAAAGCCATGTGAGCTGGATTTCCACACCTGCAGGTGGACAACCAGCCAGCAGAAGCTATGTAACCATTTAATTTCCATGTCCATCCCTGAATCCAACAAGTCAGTTCCCCGAATTCTAAGCAGCTTTGTGGAAGTGGCTTCACATCCCAAGCTCCAGAGGCATTTTCATGTGCCAGGGTGGGATTCACTGGTGCCAGACTGCAGCTTGTCAGCTAGAGGGTCAACAGAAATCTCAATTCTCTGCATAGAGGAAAGCAGATCTCTTGCTTTGTATCCATTCAGCCTTCCTTATTCCAACAAATGCCTGCAGGCATATTCCATGGACAGGAACTGATATTTCTCCTCCTCATCTCATAGGTTTGAGGCCTGGAACTGAGTATGGCATTGGAGTGACAGCAGTGAGGAACGACAGGGAAAGTGCTCCTGCCACCATCAACGCTGGCACTGGTGAGTGTCCTGATCCTATCTGAGCTCTGCAGGAGGCAGCAACTCAGGTGGAACCACTCTTTCATTTCTAAGAGATGCCAGAAGAGATATTTTAGAAAGTTCTTGATTTCATTTTGCTACATTTCCCCTCAAGGAAAAGAAAAACATTCCCACAAAGATCATGACCTCTGAATCTGACTTCTTTTTGCTGTTCTTCTTAATGTTCTGGGACTTTTGTCTCCAGGTGAGCTCCTTAATGACAATTGTGTTCCACTGATCACTCTGGCCATCCTCTATCTGTGGAATGGTGGTAGCCAAAATGTTAATATGACAAGGAGTGGTTGCAGTACTCCTGTCTGACCTGGCAATCTGGAATTTCTCACATGATACCCCCTTTTCCCAGGTGAATTATCTGAAGGCTTTACTTTTGCCTCTCAAGTGTAAGTGGGGGAAATTTGTTCTGGTTTTGTCTGTAAAGGAGATCAACATCATCATCCTCTACCCATTTCAAAAGGTGCCAAAGGTGGGCAGACCCTGAGCTGCTGCTTCAGTGGAGATGTTCCTCTACAGATGCCTGGAAAAAAACATCTCAGGGCAGTTCAGAGACACCCCAACTTTGCTTTTGTTTGTAGATCTTGATAACCCCAAGGACTTGGAAGTCAGTGAGCCCACTGAGACCACCTTGTCCCTTCGCTGGAGAAGGCCAGTGGCCAAGTTCGACCGCTACCGCCTGGTTTACAGCGGAGCCTCGGGGAAGAAGAGCGAGGTGGAGATCCCTGTGGACAGCACCTCCTTCCTGCTGCGGGGGCTGGATCCAGGCACCGAGTACACCATCAGCCTGCTGGCAGAGAAGGGCAGGCACAAAAGCAAACCCACCACTGTCAAGGGTTCCACGGGTGAGTAACAGCTTTTGATGGGCGAGGACTAGCCCAGGGATAACCTCACCTGATTTCCTAAGGCGTATCTGGGGAATGTCCTGCAGAGCACACAGCTCTGCCAGCATGGGAGAGTGGAGGGTGGCTCTGTATTTCCCTCCCTGCTGTGTTCACCTCCATGTTCCCAATGAGCTCATCCTCTGAGAGGCCTCACAAAGAACTCATCCACTGGTCCTGCATGGATGCAGAACTCATTCTTTGTTTTAGACGTGGGTATTGTTGTGCATCATGTCTTCTAACATGTTTTGCTTCCTACAGCCAAAGAACTAAGAGGAAGAGCAACCAGAACGTGTTTAACATTGCTTGTTCCTGCCTAATTAATTCTCTTCACTGCAGGCCATCATCCCTCAGCAGGGCCTGTGGGGCTCTGATGTTGTCCTATTTCAGTTTTATCATCCAAAAGTGGGAAAGGCTCCCACCCCAATCTGATTCCAGCCACCATTTCCACTGGGTACTGTGACATATTTCTGTTTCTGCCATCTCCATTTGTGCAAACCTCTCCCACTGACCAGTATCAGATGACTTACTGAACAAGGTTTTATCCTTTGTGAAACATTTTGAGCCAAAGTTTGTTGCATAGAGAATTATATCTCAGTACAGAACAGAAATGAGTCCTGAATCTTTAGGTTTCTCAGCCTAAATCCTGTGAGGCAAAGCCTTTACTGCTCTAAGCAAGCAAAGATGGTGAAATCAGAATCAGATGGGCTATGGTTATTGTCCTTAGCAGATACCAGGGTGTTTATCCTTTTCTCCCAAAGACCATCTGTGAGGTGAGCACGTGCCAGACGTTGTGGATTTTACAAATTAATAACTACACAGCTTAAATGATCAAAGATGGGTTCATATTCCCTGGCAGTGTTCAGGCCAGCACAACCTCTGAATGCTTTATAGAGACAGCAATCCATCAGAGAGTGACATGGTCTGGAAACCATCAGTCCTGAATGAGCTGTTTGATGCCTAAGCCAGGCCTGTGTCCAGTGCAGGGAAAAATGGGGAATCCTTGAGGCACATACAGAAAAAAAGAAGCTGTAGGTTTCTGTGGCAGCAGTGAGCAGGCTTCAATTTTCCAGCTTTCTCTGCTGGAAGACTGAGAGGTTTCAAGGAAGTCTGCAGAGATGGTGAAGAGGCAGAAACAATGTGCTGTGGAATTTCACAGCCTGGTCTTTCCAGTACCAGCTCCCAAAGCTTCACAAAGAGGCCTCTTTATCCTAGTTTGCCTTTTATTTTATTTTGTTTTTCTTCATCTGGCCGCTGTATTTGTTTTAGGTCTTTACTCAGAGCACCAGTAAACACAGAGGGCTCTGCAGTGGGCTCCTGGGAACAGCAGCTGACATAACCTGGCTCTGTGACCTTTCTCCTGCATGGGAATGGACAAATCCAAACACAGAGCACAGGGAGCAGAAATTCTCTGCAAGCCTGAGCTGTACAAGACAAGTGGTCTCTTCAGTTTGCTTTTCCATCTACCCTCAAGACACTCTTCTTTATCCATCTTCCAGCACTTGGGAGGTCCCAAGTCCTCAAGCTAAAGACAAACAATCTTGTTTTGCCCTCTCTTGCAGGGGCAAGCTGAAATATTCAGAGCTCATGAACCTCTAGTGAAGGACACATCACAAAATCTTCCACAGCACAGGATGGAAGCCACTGTTGCTTCTGTCTTTTCACAGGGATGAAGTGCAGCTCAAGTGACAAAGTCTTTTTTAACTGATCTGTCTGATCCTGCACTCAAGGGATGGCAAAGATTACAGAGTGAAATTTTCTAAATCTTGCTGAAAAGGAAAAACTGAATATTTCACATTTCCATTTGCTCGTCTGTCTCTTGTAGCTCCATGCAGTGTAATCCTAATTACAAATCCTAATCCTAATACAAGCAAGCATTGAGTCCTGACCTAGAGGAGCTCTCTGAAATGAGTTTTTTTGCTCCAGAGGCTTCATGAATGCAGGAGAATTCCATGAGGGACCTTGTGGTTCTGAGGGAAACAGACCACACAACTTTAATATCTTGTGGTGTGTGAATACAGGAGCCTGCAGCAGTTTTGTGCTGGAGCACATGGAAGTGTCACAGCAGAGCCCTTCCTGCCCAGAGAACCCCTGGGAGCTGGGATTGAGCCTCCAAGCCAACACTTCCTATAAAATCAAGGTGTGTGGATTGGCTGGAGAGCAGCTGGAAGCTGTGGCTACAACAGGAAACTCCTTTCTGTTATTAGTGAAGGAATCATGAGGGTTCCACCCAGCACTGCACAAAGGTTTGACTCAGAAATTAAAGAAAATGATCCATTTTACTCCTTGGAGGGACCTTGCCTTGAGCATGTCCCAGCAGATCTCAGCTCATCTGTAGGGTGAGCACGTAGCCCAGCTCTGAGCAGCTCAGCACTCAGACTGCAGCTTTGTTCTCTCCTGCTTGGCTTCTGGAAGCCTGCCTGCAGAGCACAATGTGGGGCCTGGAGCAGGATGGATGGCAATGCATCAGGCATGAGAGGCCTGGGGAGATAAATGAGCCAGCACTAGAGAAACCCAGAGCCAAGCTCAAATTCCTCTGCTGAAGGACCCAGATTGTGCAGCAACTGTTGATGAATCGTGGATGTGATGCTGTCTTGCCTCTGGAAGTGAGTTTGTACAGCAGAGCATGGCTTGGAGAAGTGACTTTTCCATTCTGCTGAATGTTTTTCAGAAGATTTATGCTGTTTACCAGAGGCCCTTGTCCGTGTTGTGCGTCAGTCCCTCTTCCTCTCCTGGCTGCTCCGAGGCTCAGATTGCGCCACCCTTTTTTATACAAACTCAAAGGAACATTAGCAAGAGTGATTAGGTGAGCCAGTTCCATGGGAAAGTACAGTGCTGACCACTGGGAAACTCAATTTGCCAGGGAAGATTGTCCATTGGTTCAGCTGAACCCTCCTTGGAGAGCACCTGGCACCTGAGCTCAGGATGGGGATTTTTAGTGGTAGCTACTCCAGTATTTCTGGCTTGTGACATGCTGCAGTGGTTTCTTCATGAAATTCAGAGGGGCACAGGCACTGCAATCCCCAGTTTAGTACAGTGTTGTAGTTTAACCAGATTAAGAGAGGGGAAAAGTGGTTTAGTCAAAGGAGACTAAAAAGAAAACCTTGCTGGGTCATCATGTCTCACATGAGAGATTGGGAAAGCGGCTAAGAGCCCCTCTTGGGGAATAATATAAAATCCCAGATTCAGAAGCAAGAAGTAATACAGAATACTCTATCCCAAGAAGTCAGGGAAATGTCCTGGCAGCACATGAGCATCCTTTTTAGTAAAATCACCAGAGAAACATTCCAGTGGAATTCCTCAAAAGGCCAACACCACACCACAGACACATTCAGGCCAGGCCCAGCCTGTACCAAGAGATATGGAGCTATTTCCTAAGCTGACAGTAAGAAGTATCCCAGCCTGGGAAGGAGTGTGTGTTTATTATCCATCCAGTTTCCCTTTTACACATCTTTAATCTCTGTTCATTCATCTCAGCACTGTGAATCATTCTCTGGCTGTCACCCACCCACCTAAAGCTCCCAGAGCTCTCTTTTTTCCCTGCCCATCTATTCCCCTTGTTGTTAAATCAAGTGTTTGAGTTTCACTGCCCTTGTTACTCTACAGTTTGATTGTTTTCCAGGTTTTCCATTAGCTGTTACAGCATTCTGCCTGCTAAACAAAGAACACTGTCTGTGGTATCAGAGATTCTGCCTGCTAAACAAAGAACACTGTCTGTGGTATCAGAGTATTTTCCATGTATTCATATCATTTTCATTTTGTGTCTCCTGTTTGTTTGTACACAAAGCCACAAATTCCCCTGAAACACATGAATTTATTGTGGGATATATGTGTGTTAATATCTGTGGTAGAAACAACCCTTTCTCACCCACCTTTCTCACCCACAAATGATTTGTGGAGTAATTAACTCCAAGGTAATATTCAGAATTACATTCCCTATGTTCCATGTCTGTACATGGCAACCTCCACGTAGCTTCCAAAGCTGGAACATTAAAATAAATCCACTTGTGAATACAGCAAATTTCTGGATTCAAATTTCCCACAGGTGATCGGTCCCTCAGGTTTTTCATAATGTACTTGAACTGCTGCTGCATTTTCCATCCAGATTGGAGTAACCAAATCCTTGTGTGGCTATATACTATAATATATAATATATAATATATTAATCTATAATCTATAATATATTAATCTATAATCTATAATCTATAATCTATAATCTATAATCTATAATCTATAATCTATAATCTATAGTCTATAATATATAATATATAATATATAATATATAATATATAATATATAATATATAATATAATATAATATATATAATATATAAAATGTAATGTATGATATGTAATATATTATATATTATATATAATATATTATATGTAATATATGTAATATATTATATATTATATATTATGTATTAATATATTATATAGATATAAAACATAAATATAAATATAAATATAAATATAAATATAAATATAAATATAAATATAAATATAAATATAAATATAAATATAAATAAATATGAATTGCTCTTTGCCTTACAGGCTTCTCTCCTTCCTGGAGGTGAGCAGAAAACCATGTTTTCACACCTGTATTTGGCCTAAGAGCTTATTTACAAGATAACATTTCTGCATCTCTTTGAAACCATTTCTAATAGATTTTGCTCCTCTGCAAATGTATTTCTTTGTGATGTAAGTGTGAATTCGGAGACATGTAATGAATCCCGGGTACATATTTGTGCCCAGCTGATGGATGGTGCTCTATGACTTGCTCTCTCTCACTGAATGCAAGTGGAGCATGAAAGCAAGGAAGTCACCGAGGTGTGAAATGATGCGGGCTCCCACTAATGAGGAGATAATTCCGCATGTCAGAGAAATCCCTGCCTGGGGCCTTGTGGCTGGGATCACAAACACGTTCCCTGTGATCTCCGAAGCTCTCAGATTTCCACAATCTGACTGTTCTGCCGGATAGATCCATAGATCATCCAGCATGTTGAAAGCTTGGCCTTTCCCCTTTCCATTCCTTGGGATCTTCTGTAAGAAATGGTTTTTAAGTT